CTACTAAAGCAACTCTTCCTATTGCATTTGGTACTTGAAATGCCCACAGCAGACACATCTGTAGCAAGAATAATGGGATCAGAAGCTGCAGCAAGTCCATCAGCAATGTCCAAGTGACAGCAGGGAAACAGTTTGGCCAGTGCACCCAAATATTGCAGGGTGAACATGGATGTGGCACCAACTGCTAGTTGCTGCAAAACAGCATTGCTGCTTAATTTTGCAGATGACTCAGGAGGGTGTAAAAAATAATTTAAAAGCAGAAGTAGAATTCAAAATTATCTCATCAAAATGAAAATAAAAGAAGTCTATAAAAAGGAAATGAAGTCAATAACTATAAGAGCAAGAACACAGACTTGGGTGTAATTTGCTATAATAGCAAACTGTTGACTTGAGAGCAGGAGGGGATCTGAAGATTGCAGGGAGTCATGGGTTTCACTGTCATAGTCTCCTGAAATAAGCAAACTGCACTGGGGTGTGGGGGTGTGTGTGTGTGTGTTACTAGGAGGATATTCCACCAAGAATGCAGCAACCCCATCATTTCAGACACAATGATAACAACTCTCTGAGTTATTATATCCACTCTCGAGACTTCCATCATATCCCATTCTAATGAACTAGGGAGACTCTAGAGCACAAATGAATGAGAAGAAGAATAGAAAAAAATATTCTACAGGAAAACATTGAAAGAAAATGCAGAGTTTAACATGAAGACAAGAATTTGGAGACAGCCTAACTGCAGTCCTCAGATATGCAAAATCAGCCTCCAAAGAATGAAATAATGTTTCACACATTCGTAACAGACAAGATAATAAATACTGAATTTGAATCATGGACAAATCAGATTAAAGATAAGAAACCAAATGTTTCATGATGAAAAACAGATCTAGGAATGCCAATGCCACAAATTTACCTGAATTTCTCTTTGGATCAACTAGATAAAATTATCTCCCATCCTCCTCCTCTGATTCTATGGATGCCACAAACCACTTATGAAAGGCTTAAGGCTTACTTAATACATTTTATAAATCCAGTATTAGCAGATGAAGTACATGAACAAATAAAGTTGCAATTTCTTTTGCATACTTAAAATTACCTTCTCCTCATGATAAGGGACATACTCTGACATGTTTAATGGTGTACAGCCCAGTAACTCTAGTGAAATCCCATGAAGTCTCGTCACTTGTTCCCTAAATGCAATCAGTACATATCCTAACACACACAGTTACATAGACTCCTGGAGTGCTGGTGTGTAACAAACAGTAGCTATACCAGGTTTTGCACCTTTTCCACTGTGTAACATTAGCAAACTCTGTCAGCCATGGGACAGGGTGATTCAGGCAAAGATCCAATACTATAGTACAGACTGCTCAGTCTTAGTGGCTGAGAGGCTGAACCAGCCATTCCTAGCAAGTACTTGCTAAGTCATAGCAAATATTGCTAAGATGAGTTACCTAATGGAAGAGCAGCTTGGATAAGATAATGGAAATCTAAGTCCTGCAATAGCAGCCAGGAAAGAAGAGCGAGGGACTGAAAAACCATAATGTCACCATTTCTGATTCAATTTTCCCGTGTTAACTCTGAACTAAAAGCCTCCATATCCAGTTCCAGCTGGAGATGCCACTATCCATAAAGCCATTATGACTGTTAGTCGTTGTCTTCCATCTCACTGGCCTCCTGAACTGTGCTCAAACATTCAAAGAGTTGTTCTACACTAAAAGGGAGAATATTGGAAGAGCTGGAAGAGCTGTAATGCTTTCAAAACAACTACAAAACCCACACCTGAAACTGGCTATAAAAACCATCTAGAGACATAAGAGATCACTTGGCATTCCCAAATGACACCTTGTAACAACAGGCAAGGGGAAGCTGTACAGTGGCAACTGTGTATTTATGCCTCATTAAGTATTTATCAGCTGTTTGCTGCTCATATCTTGTCTTAAAATGCTGTTCCAAAATATTTTCACATTAAATATCAGAACCAAGTAATATCTTAAAATCACAGCAGAAAGAACTGGGAGAGACTTGGAGAATTTGTCTGGTCTCAAAACCAAACTGCATCTATTTCTCATTCCAGATTGGCAGGTGGCCAATAGTTGTGCATCAATGACCAGAAATCACAAACCAGAAAATCTTTAATAAAAATATTACCTGGAAGATAGTGGCCCAAGAAGAATACCTTCAACTTTATTCTGAAATGTTAATTGTGCTTGTGGGTTTTTGCTAAATTTGTTTTTACTCCATGTATGCTCTAGGGTACTTGCTTTACAAAAGCTAAAAATTTAAAAATAATTCATTTATGCATTTTCAGCTCTAATACAGAACTTAAAGTCAGCTCATCAGAGCAGTTTCAGGCTACATGCTGCCCTCAGATCACATGTACAAAGGCACATGCAGCTTGAGCACTGAGCAATGAACTTTTTACAATTACCCACACATCAAGAGCTCAGACTCTGCTTTCTCTAATGTAACCAGTGTGTGAGATGTGCCTTTGTGTACAGTGTTCAAGGAGTACCCAGGAGCCAGGGAGGCTAAAGATGCTTGTAAAGATGTTTCATACTCTAGTACCTAGTCCTAGTTTACTAGGATATTAAAGATCTAGTTTACAAAACATCTACACTTAGAGCAAGAGTGTAGCAGCCTGTGCTTCCATGACTTTTCACCCGTAGTCTAGTCGGAATTAGAAAAACATACTTTAATGGTAAAATGACAAATGCAGAAAACAGGGAATGCTGAAGAAATTTCAACCAAGGAAAGAACTCTCAGGGGAACCATCAAAATTTCTCTTCTTCCATGAGATTTCAAGACATTAGTGAACAGCCATGAGAATTACTATTAATTCGAACACGTTGTAGCAGCACATATTACACAACCTTCTTGCAACACAGGGCAAGACACAGACATAATCTAATACCTGTTAAATCACACAGGTAGATTCACTTGAAGAAAGAAGATCTTTTTCCTCCCTGGTAACACAAAAGAGTACATAGAAGCATATTTATAACAACACAAGAAATCAAGTTTCCAATCCCTGCTTTCCCTAAAGACACCTGAGTTAGTGTTTTCCATCTGTTAGTACTAAGGAACTTAAGTTATTGTGTATTCTTTCAGATGAAAGAAGTCGATTTAAAATTTTTTAGTATTTATAAAGCAAGCAAACCATGCCTTCCAAAAGTGCCCTAACAAGCTGGGTTGACTGTCACAGCCTCATGAATATTTAGAAACACTTATGAGAAGGAATAGCTTAACCTCATAATAAATACGCTTTTCTAGTTTGTGACCAATGATGACAAGATACTATCTCAGTGTATGTGGTAAACACAATCTCCCCTTCTGAAAACTTCTAACAGGGTAAGAAATATTTTCCTGCATCACTAGCTTGAGTTACTCTTATCCCATATTTCAGAGTCCTTTCCAAACAATACCAGTAGTTTTGTAGTTTTGCTGAAAGCAGAATAATGAAATATACATAGACTGTGAGTCAGAGGACTTTTCTACATACAAGTTGGATGTTCTTTGTGAAACGTAGCACTTCCCTTGAGGAACACAAATTCTGAGAGAAGTCATGTCAGAAGAGTTGCATTTCCAGCACAGCATTGGATAAAGACTTTTCCATGGCTATAAAAGACAGTCACCTTTGCTGCTTCCAGCCATCATCCCAGGGGGCAGATGAGACTGGAGGCTACATATGCTTTCAGAGAAAACAAGGTTTTGTCATGCTTTACACCATCAAAGACTGTGCTTTAACTAAATTTGGTTCAGTATTGCCACATTCTAAGCAACTACTAGCAGCTACTATTTCACATGCTATTTGCTAAGCAATAATTTACTGGAGAACAGTAGTTCTCCTGTACTACTGTCCCTTTTATCCACAGCTTGCTGGTGAATACAGAGACAAATGAGACATTAGATCACTACAGTCATCATCAAAGCTTACTTTTTAGCTACTTCTCTTGCAGTGGCACCAATTGACAAAGACCTTACAGAAAATAATTCTCAACACAGCAGATTTCTATCCCTACCAGACTTATTTGCCAAAATGTGGCAGTGAGGTAGGAACAGGGAAAGCACCGGATCTTTAGCAAAGCTGCAGAAGACCACCAAGGGACTAGAAATAAGCACTTATTCAACCCTGTAATATTTAGTGATCCATTTCTTAATCTGAGCAGTCCACAACAGTTAACAGAGCTGCGGAGAGCAATAGTTCAGCAGGAAAAGAACAGGAAGCACATTGAGACACTTATGCAAAGCCTTAACCTATCCTATACCAAGGGCATTCCACCTTTCATCGTATGCAGCCTCTCCCTGTAGCACTGCACCCTTCTGTTCACAAGCGTGCATCCTTTCCCCTGTGCTGCTGCAATGTTTCTATCCATGTCCTTGTCCTTGCAGCCTGTTCTCCTTGCTCTCCTAACTCACTACCTGCAAAGCCCAAGCCTGCTATATCAGTGTTTCCACAGGAAGTGGACATCGATGCAAGAATCACCCTTTCCCACCTCACACTTCCCTACCTTCATTTTGTATTTTTTACACAAAAGAAAAAACAAAATATAGCAAATAAAATGGTGGAAAGTGGTCCTTGAAATAGCATGCAGGCATTTCCTGGTGACATCCATGCTTAACAATCAATTAACATGCAACTCTTGCCTCTGGTCAGAGCATGCTTCAACCAGCTCTAACAGCATCACAAGCAGGAAAAACAAGTAGGGATTTTGAGCTGCTCTTGATGAAAACTGTCAGGGCAAAGTATTATCAAAAACTATCTGTGGCACAAGAGGGGATGCCCAGGGGAGAAGAGTCACTTGGGGAGATCCTTGTGATGATTTTCTTCTTTGCTGGCCATCAGAGAGCATTTTCCCTTGAGATTCTTTTTTCACTGTTACCAAAAAGAACATTCTTTTTGTGCAGGAGGACAACAGCAGGTTTATCAATCACATCCTTCATTAATGTTTGTGTTACTGCAATGACCTCAATTTAAAGACCACAAGGACGCAAAATCAAAAGACTATTTTCTATACAATTTTCTTCTGCAGCAATGTATTTGTATTAATCAAAATGTTCTTAAAATGTACATAATTTTCAAAAAAAGTTCACCATGATAATTAAGCACTGGCTTAATACAATATAAAAACATAGCAGTTGTCTCAAAGATTATAAAATCTCCAAAAGCAAAAGTTACATTTTTAAGAACCCAAATGGCTACATGGATATTATCCTTTTGACTTAGCTGAAAAATGAAAAACTAAAACTAAAAACACTGTACAAACCTGGTTTTTCAAGCTTGCAGGTACGTGTGATCCAGTGTCCGAAACAAAAACAGACCATCAGCAATTAAAAAATATTCTGTATTCAAAAATACATTAGCAACACATAACACATTGCTGGTGTTCTTAACATTTGAAGTATCCTTCAGTGTAATTCATGGCTTATACAGTCCTCGACTCCAGGTTGTTCTCATTCTTTCTTTTTGGTGAAGTCATATGGTTTCCACCACTGTGCAAACTGCAACACCTTTTTCCGCTGCTCCTCAAAGTTCTGTCTGATTCCTTTTCTCCAGAGCCGTGGTTCCAAGTCCAGCATGCCACCAATAATTTCCTTTGCAAGTAAAAGTAAGATAGATAATGATAAATGCAAAATTACCATATTACTTAACACTATCTTATCACAGAACAAAGAAATATGTATTTTCAAATTATGAGTCGTCCATTTTCTTCAAGTGCTAATTAAAACTTGAAATTCTGAAAAATATGCCAATTTAAATATAGAACTGCAGTTCTTAGATAGTTGCCTCAGTAAAATTCCTGTAAACACAGCACATTGATGCACTGCTTAAATATCCTAACATTTCAAGACTGTTAATGCATTAGTGCATTTGTGATTAAGGTAAATTCAGAAAAAGAAAGCTGCCCACTTTGTTCTTTCTAGTGTTATACTTCTCCCCAACCACTCTTCATGTTTTTGCAACACTGACTCTTTCAAAAAATGTTTTCTGTGACACAATAAAGAAGAATCTATTACAGCTCTCCCTGTATATACATTTTACACTATACATACCACGAGTAGCAATTTAATGACACGAGGGTTTTGAAGTAGCTGTATGTGAGTCTGTATGTGTAAGTACACTAATTTATACAAGCAGGTGTCAGTGTACCTATGCATCAATACTATGACCATGAAAATTCTTAAGTAGATGCAAGTATCTTCCATCTATAAGGTTATATGCCTATAATGTCAAATATCAGCAGTTCAGATCAAATGAAAAGAAACACAAATTTAGAATCACAGTCTCAGTATCAGCTAGTGAAAAAATCAACTACTTCATTCAACAAGCCAAGATAGAGTGACTCATCAAGGAAAGACAGATAATAAACTTAGATAGGGTACATCAAAGTAACTGTTCTGGAAGCATCTTGGTTTAATTACTTAAATTTTCCAAAACAGAGTATAATTGGTAAATTAATCTTTTACATAACAATACCTTTCCAAAGTAATGAGGGAAATTGTGTTGATCTTCAATCACATGAGCAAATCCTCCCTGAAGACCAAAGTCCACAGAAAAGTATGGCAACCCTTTAGGAACCTACACATGCAAAAACACATTTTCAGATGTTTAACAAACATTGTTGGCATTTAGTCAACCTCCCCACAGGGGAATGAATTTGAACATGGTTTTGTAGTTGATAGTATCACATTTTATTTTAAATTACCTCTGAAATCAACTACACATAGGATAAAATTGCAATAGAGAAACAGTAAAGCAATAGTAAAGCAGGTAAGGGAAAGTAACAACATACAGCAATTGGACAAAAAGACACTGAAGAAAGGATGACTGGGGTGGCAGAACTTCCAGAAGCCACAGCTGGAATAGCAGGTATGACATGGGGACACCAGGCCACAGTGTGCACAGTGGACAAATGCCTCCCTGACTCCACATCTCTGAATTACATAAGTTTAACAGAAATTTTAAGATAACCACTAGCAAGCTGCATTTATTAAAGATAAGATGTTGACTGGTAATAGGAAATATTTACCCAGTGAGAAAAGTGACACTCAGGGGAAGGGGAAAAACCTTTTTGGACAACAGATTACCAGAAACCTCCTCTATGTGAATGGACAGATATTATCCTTAACTTGCCGAATCAGACAACTTAATAATTCTGTCAGCCTGCAGGGGAGATGCAAGATATCTGCCACAATAAAGATCCTTCAGTCTAACAGAAGTGGATCCATTTATTGCTACAGTACTGCAAGTAGTTTCTGCTGTTTCACTGCAACAAATTATTTTTCACTGCTTTAATTGTTGAGGATGTTTCTGTACTGGCAAGATTTACAAAGCCTCCAATTCATAAGCATTTCCTCTGCTAAAGTTCAAATAACCATATAGCTTTCAGGAAGCATGTTCCATACATCACTTGAAATACTGACTCTAAAAATAATTAAGATTTAATATAAAGGAGCAATGTAGCAGAGCAAGAAATATTTAACACCTTAAATGGACTTTAAAAAATCATTAAATAATGAAAAATGGGTTGGCAGGTGACACCTTAAAGCAAAGGTTCATTTTGTCTTATTTCTCACAATTTCTGCACACAATCCACCCACTAGGTGACGTCTCAGCCATGTCTGACCTTCCAGCCAGGTACCACCATCTCCCAAAACAACTCCCCAAACTCCCAAACACCAAAGCTCAGTCTCGAAGCCATAGACATTTATTACCCTACAATAATGTTAAAATCACACAACTTTGTAACCATTTATGTTCAGATACATTGTATTAATGTAAAGAACTGTTCTGACTTAATCTGAAAACTGGCCTACCTTCAAAAAGTATATAATAGTCACAGAAATGTATGGCTACATAACACATAGCTTCCACCTCAATATTAAAAAGACAGAACGATCTTTGAACCTAACAGATCCAGCATTATTCCTTTAAGATTTGTTTTATATAAAGATGTTTCATCTCAGTATCCAGGAGACAAAGAGGGTACTGCTCCCTTGTTTTATAAAAAAAAGATTCATAATGCTATTTATATTTTCACTTCATAAACTTAGCAACACAAATGGCTGTTCCAGGTTAATGAAAAAGACACATCACATTTGTTCAAGGAAAGTAATTTGCAAATCTTTGATCTACTCTAATTCTTAAAGTTAATCAAGAAAATTATGCCAGTACATGTCCTCAAAGCATCAGCTTTGTTCTTAACTAATGCTGACAGCTTAGTCCACCAGTTGTTGAAATAAATGAGAATCTTTTTCCTTAATGTCAGTTAAGAGTGCAGACTGGTAATTCTCCTCATACCTATGCCATCTTCTGATGCACTAATCTAATTGTGTTCCCTTTCTTCTCTCTTTGAAACAGTTAGTAATGGAAAAATGTTATAAGAATTTGATGACAAATTCGGCATACAAAACACTTAATTACTTACAGATTTCCGAATATCTTTTGAAGAAAGATCAATTAACTTCTTGTTCATGGACCACTCTTCATCAGACTCCATTATAGCTTTCTGTAAAATGAATTTATCTACAGGTGAAAATAGTCCTTCCTACAGCAAATGAAGAATCAGCTGCAGTGAAGTACATTGTTGTAGCACAAGAAACTTCTTAACAAAGTAACTTTTTTTTGGTAAACATTCTAATTTCCACAAGCTGCTTTACAAAGACATCATATAGTATCTTCAGACCCACTCAAGTCAGTTCCTCTGGGTTTTTTTTATTTTAATTTTAGTTTTGCTTGACACAAACTTCAAATAAAAGGTCACATTCTCTTTTGACTCACTTCATATAAAACCTCTTATGAATTCCTTACACTAAATTACCCTTCTTTCTCTTCTAAACACTAAGAGAAGGATCCAGCTTAGAAGGATGATTGTCCTTAAAAACCCAAAGCTGACTCTGTATTCCCCATAGTATGGAACTGGGTATAGTGTAGGGTAGGTACCTTTTAAATTTAATTTGCTGTGCATTTTAATGGTAGATACTTCCAAAATAAATGACATTGCATTACATCTTGTTCCTTCTCTTTCCCTGAGTATGCAAAGAAAACACAAGTTTTACCAGCAGCTGAAGCACAGCAGTGAGATGTAATAGGTGGAGGGTTTCAAATGTGGTAAAAGTTACTGTATTGTTGTTCACCATACTGCTGCCCCACTTCATCAAAACCAAATCACATTATTTCCAGAAAGCATAAATAGTATTTCAAAATCAAATAAAATAATTTACTTATAAAAGGCAAACAATGAGTCAGTTGCTGAAAGCTGAAAGGACTCAGTTCCAGGCAAAAGCCTCAATGAACCTTTTCTTAAAGGGTCAGGGGAAGAGACCAAAAAGCTACAGAAGAAATATCTATCATCCTGTAGAATGTTCATCAGAGGCCTAAGACACATGTAAAATTTGGGCTTAGTGAAATAAAATGGGGATGAAACAATATCTACCTTTGGTATTTCTTAAAATAGGTAACATTATTTTCTCATTTAACGCTTGTCAAGGCACAAGTATTGTGTTTTAAGTTTATGCTACAGGACTCAAGTAAGAAGTACTGCAATACTTAAAGCACTTCAAGAGACTACAGTTCTCTCATCCTCTTCTAGTATTTTCAGTGCAGTCGGACTTGGGACAAATGCTCAGTGAAAAACAGCTCTTCCACTGACTACCTGAAAAACTGAAGTATTTCACACTGCTTATTTTAATATCAAAGAATATTAGCAGAGAATGGATCCAGAAGAAGGATCAAAAAATACATCTTTTCAAAAACAGCACTTGAATATCACAAATGTTTTCCAGAAATAGAATAATTATGATATATACATTCAAATTACTTCAGAAAAAAACATTTTCATGTACCTTAAAATAGATTGGAGCCATATCTCCTACTTCTTTTGGAAGAGGAATGCATTCATATACCATATGATATCGCTTCTTCATACTCATGTTTGTTTCTAGGAATACACAGTCCAAGTCTTTAGCTTCAAACATTTTCACCAATGCATTTCGGAACATCTGTTTAAAGGAAAAAAAAAAAGTGTTTTTAAACCAACTTTGCAGAACTTTCTGATATAATGTATTATTTCACTAGCATATTATATTTGTAATAAACTAACAATAAAATGGAAAAAAGTAGCAATTATATCAGGAAAATTCTGTATTGTTTACTAAGTTGATATTAACTATGTTTCCTCTGATGAAAACATAGGAAGTCTAGGAAACTGTTTTGAAATACAGTATAATTAACACTATAAACGTAGGTTTAAGAAAAACCATATATTTTTACAGCTGAAATGTTGAACTTCTTAACTGTAGTGCTCTATAAAACAACATGGCTTTAACAGTAGGTCCCAAGCTTGCAATTTCTAAGAAGGTAATGACCTGGCTTTTACTGACTATAGTTACAATTACCCTTTTACTACTCCTTCCAATTATACAGGTCAACAAAAAAAATTTAGAAAAGGAAAGTATTTCCACTAGGCATGCTTGATCTTTAAGTAAAATATTAATAATTGTCTCAAAAAATAAAGCCACCATCTTCACTGTATGGAAGCAAACCAAATGTAATACTCAATACATGTGGCCTCAAACTACATTTACCAGTTCCGTGTCAGAGGGATGAGGTGCTATTTAAAGTGTATTTCAGTTAATAATTCTGATAGCTCCAGTGTCAGGGTCCTGCACACACCCAAGAGGCCCTGCAGCCTCTTCTACCTGCTGGGGCTCTGGCTGCCCATGTAGGTGGGAAGCTCTGATGTGCTGCAGTTGTGAACTGGATCAGATCCAGCAGAAAGAGATGGGGTATTAAAGAGTGTTAAGAAGTGTGGACCTGGCGCCCTGTCACTCAGGAGCTGCAATTAAGTCCAGGCTGTCACTTCTGGTCTTTGCCTGTGCTCTTTCAGGGATGCCTGTGCCCAGCCAGGTACCTGACACTTCCTGGCCCTGACTTCATCTCAGACCTAAGCCATCACTGTAAACTTGGCTGGCCATTACTGGGCCATGGATGACTTTGCCTACTACCATGGGAACACTCCTGGTCTGGTACCATGGCAGTGTGCCTTGTCCATGAGATTACCTCCCCCACCTGCCTTGCCCATCACCTTGAAGCCCTGCCTTGCTTTCCTGCAGAGCAGCTGGCTCTGGCTGTTCCCTGGCTCTTGACATTTGGCATTTGCATCCAAGATATGCAAGAGCATCATTCTATAGCTTAAAATGTTCAGATGCTGAACAAATTATCAAGAACAAGAGATGATTTCTGAGAGTCATTCAAACTCATTTTCAAGTGCACATAAGATCTAACTTTCTGATGGAGTGAGAAAGTTTCTGAAAGTTTCTCAAGATCTTGAAAAATGCTTTTTAAAAATTAAGATTTTTGTCTTACACATGCTTTTATACCATTTCCACAGTGTAAGCCAAGAAATCACTGAAACTGTAGGAGCCTCGTAGATCAAGGTACCATAGCCCTAAGACTCACGTAATTCACAGGCAGTCCTTTTTGCACTGGTATTTTTTCCCAATTAACAATGCTCAGAAGTACAAACAGCACCATAAAAAGGCTAATCCCATCTAAAAGTTTAAGATTCCTTATCTTAATGTAAATGGAGAGTTGATGAATCAAAAATACATAAACATATACACATCATCAACATCAGCAAGTACTGAAGTAAAATAGAAGGGAAAAAATCACTACCAGGTTTTCAATGCAACAGGACTAGAAATTAAACTCTCCATCCCTTCACCATCCTGCTCAGTATGAATCAAACCAGAAGTCTAAGAAACGTGGCCAAATATATATCTAAACCAGGCATTTAGGCTCTTGAAAGCAGGCCCTTGTGCCCTGAATTTTTCCTCACTAATGAGCTGCTCCAAGCTGTGAGAGGAGAATGCTACCATCATTCCCCTAAAGCAACTGATGAATTACAGCCAGAAGACACTGCCCAGTGCTCCATGACTGATATGGGACTCTACAGTGCAGAGTGACAGGCAACTCAGGCTAACAACTTTTTGTCTTCTCCTTGTCACTCCAGCCACCAGACCTCGACTTCTGAAACACACTGAAGCTAGCAATGTGGTGAGATACCAAAGGCTGACAAAGACCATTACTTACAGCTGCTACCCTGCAGTATTAACTGAAATACAAATCCACCAAAACGCCTAGAATGTCAGCAGATGTTAGCTAACTTCCCCCAGTTGCATTTTTTTGTTTTTAAATAATTGTGCTTTTCCTCCAAATTCTGAGCAGGCCAAAGCATCAAGAGTAATTAGCACTGGAAAGGAGAAAACTATCCATAAGGGGAAGTAAAAAGGCTTGGCTTATGTTTGGATGCACACGACATTAATACATGCAACAGTTCAGTCCACACAGAATGTGTAAAGATTTATATCTTTTCATAATAAAAATATTCCATGCATATTTACTTTGGCAAGTGAGCACGTCAGCATCTAAACAACACAATATGTTAAATTCAGGAGCTTGAAGGCATACAGTATAAAGCAAATTTTTTTGCTTTTCTTCAGAATATCCTAACAAAAAACCCAGCAAAAATAGTGAGCTAAAACGCATACTTCATACAACACTTTGTGAATACTTAAAGTGTGGTTATTTTTTTCCTTCAACAGAAATGAAAAATATGTCTATGGCATCAAAGTTAGTTTAGTCATTGACTGTCTGCTTATACTCTTGCTAAAGCTTTCCAGATTCCTTATTTTGTAATGCATAGAAGTTTGGGGAAATAAAAGTAATGTATCTATCACTTAACAAAATACTTTGATGCAAAGAAATATCTAAGCTGTCTATGAATATATTCATAGGATCAAACGATAATGGTTTTTTAGCAAGTAAAAGACTAGCGTTGAAGACAGGGACTGCATTTGCGTATCTTTTCCTTATCCTATTTTCTTTCTCATGCAATTTAAAAAATCGCAATTGTTTAGTTAAGAGCTTAGAGTAAACAGAAGATCTAGGATAAACATATTTAGCACTTCTCCACATCCTCCTGATCCTACTTGTTGCACTTATTTGCTTCTTATCCAACTTTCTTAGGCCTTTCTGTCGTGTAAGAGAACTCCTTTTCTTTCTGGTTGGAAAGGAACATAATTTACTATATGAAACAACATCAGACATGAGACTCGATGTGGGGAGCAAATTTGAAAAGTCAGAGAATCCATCTGCCAGACCTGAGGCAAGACCAACATTATTTAAATTAATACAAACTTTAAAATGATGCTGGATTTAAATCTCAGCAAATACAACAATGAAGCCTTTCTCCTTTCCCTGGTCTGATATAGTCTCCTATATTTCAATATAAGAGGTTGCAAATTTTTTTCCCCCTTGTAATCATCCTGATGGCAGAGAGTGGGGGATTGACAAACACAGTCAATCTCTTAGACAGAAGTTTGTTATATCCTCTCTTGATTTTCCATCTCCAAAGAAAACAACTCACAATCTTCAAAATGTCCTCATAAAGGAGCTGGAAAGCACAACCCGTCGTGCTTGGCACTTTATTTTAGTAATTCTTTTCAAAAAAGGTAGTAAATTGGATGCAAACAGGGATCTGATTGATTTTAAGAGTAAGATAGTTCCCTTTTAATTGATATCCACCCAAAAACAGATTTAAAAATATGAAGATATGAAAATATGAAGATATGAATGAATATGAATATGAAGATATGTAAACAACATATCTGTATTTCATTTTAAGTGATCTGCCGGCTCTGACAATTCTTTTCTTTTCCTTGGCACTTCCAAGAAAATCCTATTAAGCCAGTTATTCTATTTTCTGTAAGGGATTAGCTGTACCTACTTCATTTCCAATAGACATTCCTCTAACATGGTTTCAAAGACCTCCAACAATGCATGTTCTGAAGCATTCCAGGAAACTTCTTCTAGTGCTTAAAAATTGAAAATTTGCTTCAGTATTTACCCTGCCTCTCTTTCCTGTTAGTATCTGACCATTAATTTTCATCCACAATATGAGAACGTTCTGCCCCTTAGTGGAATCAGAATAGAGTTGCCAGACTGCAGATATGAAAATACTCGCTTATGACAAGGATATTATTATCCACAACAAAAATATTTTACAGAAGTGTTAGGAGACAGTTTCTCAGCAGACCTGGATTTCTTCCCAGATGTCTTCATCCAAAAGAGTGGCTGCAGTATGGTGCTGTAGAGGGGCTATCAGGCAGTGACCTTCAGTAAGGGACTGGCTGCTTGGTAGAGACAAATACACCTAGGAAAAGCAAACAAAAACTCAAGTGCCCAGTTTTCCAGCATTAAAAACCTTCACATTGCTGAGGCTACGAAAATCATCATTTGCTAAATTCAAACCAACAGAAGCCATTAGCTGCTAATAGCAGCAAGGTATGAGCAATTTTAGTGCTTTTTAAAAGGACCCATTATCCACCAGCAGCTCAAACAAACCAGTAGTATCCAGAGAGCAGTTCCACCACCAAGGCAGCAATATCAGCCTTAAAAACCAACTGGTATCACAGCTGTTTTGCAATCACACTGTTTAGTGCATTCCAGTTTCTTTAATATAGAATGCATTTTTAATAATATGTATGTGTGTGTGTGTATATATACATGCATACATACATACATACATACAGATATATATATATAAAAATGTATTCTCTGTGTCATGGTTAAACCTGGCAGGCAGCTAGACATCAAACAGCTGTTCATTCACTCCCTGTTCCCAGTGGGATAGGGGGAGAGAATCCAGAAAAAAAAAAGAACAATTTGTGGGTTGAGATAAAGACAGTTTATAAGGACAGAAAATTAAATAATGATGACGATAATAACAACAACAATGTACAAACCAAGTGATGCACAATGCAATTGCTCACCACCCACCAACTGTTGCCCAGCAGCTTCACAAGCACTGGCCAACTTTCCCCCAAGTTTCTCCACTGAGCATGATGTCATATAGTCTGGAATATCCCTTAGGTCAGTTAGGGTCAGCTGTCCTAGCCATGTTCCCTCTCAACTTCTTGAGCCCCTCCCACCTTCTCACTGGCAGGGCAGTATGAGACAAGCAGAAGAGTCCCTGGGCACTACTTAGCAACAACTAAAAACATCAGTGTCTTACTAACATTACACTCATCCTAAATCTAAAACTCAGCACTGTAACAGCTATTGGGAAGTAAAATAACTATCCCAGCCAAAACCAGGATACCTTGTATATTTATTGATCTATTAGATTGATAAACAGATTATATACACATAGATATGCATCTGCATTAATTTATATATATATATAATTCTTAAAAAAAAATAAGTGCAATATACCTTAAAACATATCTATACACCTAATTCCTTTACCTATAAAGAGTTTCAGATCAATTGAAAACATTAATAACAAATGAAAACAGTAGAGAAAAAAAAAGACAAAAAAGCTATATTGAAGTATTTCAGATGTTATAAACCCAAATATTTATGCAACTTTAAAATGCATTAACAGTAGCAGAAAGGTTTCCAAACCAAACTTCTGTCTATTTCAAAAGACTTTAAGCTTACAAATTGAATTCTTCACCTAATTTTCTTTGATATCAAGATACAGTTCTTCACTAGTTCAAATTTCCTCCAGTGAAGTGTGATTTAATCTTCCACAAATCCACCTACAGTCTAATCTCTGCACTGAGATCTTTCATTATTACTCCTGTCTTCTACAAACGTGAAGTCCTGACATCAAAGATTAGCTTTAGAATTCATGACAGATTTATATCTTTTCCCTCCTCACCCTTGATGAAGTTGTGGTATCAAATGAAAAAGCAAGGAAAGGAAGATGCAGAACAATAAATCCTTCCATAGAAGCAATTTCATCCCTAATTTTAAACACTCTAACATCATTGGTTTTTTATTTCTACATTTGTGTTAAATTGCTATTTTCTCACCTTGGTGCCAATTGCAATAATAAGATGCTTAGAAAGTTCACTGCTATCAAAGCAGTAGGGGCACTTTTCCATGCATGCAGCGAGTTGCTGATGCTCACGGATTGCTTTTCTTCTTTGTACTTCCTCCTCTTCCCCACTGCGTGCTCTCTTGGCTGCTTTGGAAACAAACATGTCATCCAGAGTGTAGTACTCTCTGTCAGTTTTTTCCATGAGCTGAAAAGATATGCAGAAAAATTGCACGTATTTATAAAATACCAAGAAAAAACACTTAGCTCTTTGTAGTATCCTTCCTTGAGAAAAGCATAAAGTACATAAGCAGTAGCATTTCTTCCTTTCATATGGCATCTGCTGCAGATGGATCATCAGGTACCTCTCCTGAGAGCAGTCATACACAATCTTAGCACAGATATTAAAATATAGATATGTGACAGCAGTGAGAAGAGTATATTACTATATTCCATTTCAAATTAAGGGCTAGGTATTTCAATATTATCTTGACATAACTTCAGCTATCTTTAAATAGATGCACAATTTTATATATCATTTATATCATCTATTTTATCCTCTCTCTTCTCCTCCTCTCCTTTTATGACTATCATTAAATCATTTTTTGTGAAATAACTAGACCATGACTCTGCACTTCATGCCAACAGTTATTCTTACCAAGTGAACAGGATTAAGCAATTTTGGGAAGAAAACAGTCTTTGGGAAGAAAACAGCCTTCAATACTAGGTCTTTCTGAGTGCACCTGCTGCACACCACAACAAATCTTAATATATTTTAGGATACTGACTAGGGTAGCCCTAGCAAAGGACTAATGTTAACTGAAGACATTTGGAAGGAATGCTATCATAACTGAAGCACACTTTCCAAATGAAAGAAATTCTTCCAAATATGCCAGGCATAGTTTCTGTAGATAATCTGATACACGCACACACACGCCCAAAAAAAAAATAAAAATAAGAAAGAAATTGGTAGAATACATAAGTAACTTCCCCCCAAAAAGACAATAGCCATTGCTTTTCCCAAATACTGCAGTTCTCTAACACAGATCAATACTTTATTTTAAATATGCTCAGTACTTTCCTTATCAAACAACTGAGGAGGAGCCTCCTTAATATTACTTTATTCAGCTATAATACACTTAACTGCTTATGTGCACTTCCTACTGGAAGACATTGCAGACTAAAATCAACATTTCAAGAGTTCAACTCCATTTCAACTCCATTCTTCTCTCTTACTGTAATGCTGTCATTCTATATTTAACAGAAAAACGAGATTCCTGAGATTTAGAAAAAATATGTAGTGGTTTGGGTGTCTAAAATCAAGTCTCTGTAGTTCTGTCATACAAGCATTAAAAAGGTAAAGTTAGACCTGCAGCAGAAGTACTGCTTAGAAAATAGCAGCATTTTGTTATTACTAAACATAAAGTTTGGGATTTTGTTTAAATAAAAATTCTGCCATGAGAATGGAAATACACAGGAAACATGACAGCTGGCAGACTAGAAAGGAAAGGAAAACAAGAGTGGAAATCACAACACTTTGGCTATCAGGAGTATCACATGTAGCACAGAATACCATTACTACTTTGCCCTGCTTGCACTTAGAAGTAGTCATGGAAATTCCTGGTTTGTTTTACAAAACCTCCTTTAAATAACAGTACTTTTCAAAATACTCCACAGAATCCCTTGTGATAAAATAAATATTCATCTTATTAAACAGCCTGGAAGATGCCTCTATTCAAGATGGATAAATTGCTGTATACAACATTTTATGTGGGATCCAAAGGAAAATTCTTAAATAAAAACTGTCAAACTTTTATAAAGTAGGTGATGTCTAAAATCCAGATTTTGTTTCTTCTGGTCAGTCATGACCAACAGATCACAGAACCATACAATGGTTTAGGTTGAAAGAGACTTTGATGATCACCTTCCTCTAAGCCAAGCTGCTCAGGGCCCCATCCAGCCTGGTCTTGGACACTCCAGGGAGGGGGCATCCACAACTTCTCTGGGAAACCTATTCCAGTGCCTGATTTCCCTCAAAGTAAGGAATTTCTTCCTAACAATTAAACTAAATCTACCCTCTTTCTGTCTGGGGCCATTACCCCGTGGTATATCTGCCTGTGTGAAAAGTTGCTCTCCCTCTGTTTTCTAATCCCCCTGCAGGTACTGGAAGCTGTTATAAGGTCTCCTTTGAGCCTTCTCAGACTGAAGAACCCCAACTCTCTCAGCCTGTCTTCATAGGAGAGGTTCTCTATCCCTCTTTTAAAACATTTATACTTCTATTTGTAAAATAAAGTGCCCAGTGAGTTCTGCCAATTGCATTATTTAGCTATAACTAAATCTCGCAAAAATAAGTGAAAGGGGATTTGAAAGAACAAGAAGAAATCATTCTCTAAAATGCCAGAAGGAAAGCAAGTAATCATTTAAAACCTGATTTCTTTCATACATATATTCTTCCATACTAAAGACAGAGCTAGTACACATCCAAAGAAAGAACTATGCTGATGTATTAGAGTTGCTGGAAAGCTGCTGTTCTGCATCATAAGTGCAGCATTACACCTGCTAAACATGTAAGCCAATGCATTTTGGAAATTGTATATTTAGTTCCCTCACCATGATTGATATCATCTGGTATCACCCTTGCTGCTCAGGTGCTGCACAGAGATCAGAAAGAAGAAGGAGTCATTCTGATCTATGAGTTTAAAGTTGGGATGTCCTACAATACATCTCTGATTTACCTAAAGCTAACAAAAGAAATTCAGGTCTCTATAGGGGCAATGCATCTGAAATCCTTGTTTCTGCTAGACACTGATCAAAGCCCACAGCTGTGCTAAACTGACATGTTCATAAGACAGATCAGCTCTGCAGTCCCCAGTCTTCTTTTTCCTGCTTCATTTTTCTTTATTCTGGGCTTATCTGCCACATTCTTCCTCCATATACACCCTCTTTTTTCCAGCTTTTCCTTCTCTTTTGGCAAGCACTGATGAACCAGAGGACACAAAGGCAGCTTTAAGACTCTTAGCATCAGGCAAAATGACACAGCCTCCCACATCTCATAGCATAATTGTGCAACTATGTAATTTCTACCATCCATCTGATTTTCCTCAAGCAGGATGCAGTTTTCATTTAACCAATAGAGAAGAATCACAATTGTACTTGCCCTGGCCAAGAGAGGCCTGTAATATACAAACACTTAAACAGCAGTCAGGGAAGGCATCCAAACTTCTCTCAGGAGCCCTCTGGGCTTTCATTTGGACAGCTCAAATACATGCAAGTGTGGCTAAAACCCAAGAAGAGGGGTGAGATCTCTAACCATTCAGCACAGGAGTTTAGAAAGAAATCAGAATCTGACTATGCATAAATCAGAATAATTTGAGAGAGGGAAAAATTACAGTGTTGTATTTTCTGATTAAATCCTTATCATGATAATTACCATGAATAATATGAATATATTACATGAATTATTTCATTACATAACATTCTGTTTACTAGATAATTGAAGTCCTTTTTAATTTGTTACGTTAGTGAAGCCATCAGGCACCATGTCATGGGGCTACTTCCTAAAGTAATTCTTGCAAATCTCTGGAAGGTTCACTCCAGGGTCAGCCTCACTTTTCTGCCACCCTACGTTCAGGTCACCAGAACCATATCTCACATAGCTTGATTTTAAACCAATTCTGTTTTTCTCACTCCACAGTAAAACCCCTGGAGTCTTATACACGGCTGGCTTCCTACACACACTCCACCTCAAGCATGCTGCACGTTGTGTCTCTTATTGCTCCCCCTGATGCTATTACTTGCTTTTTGGGTGGCCCCTTCAAATAAAAAGCCCTGCTACAGAAGTTAGTATCATTGTGATACTGAAAGGAAACCTTAAGACACAGAACTCCTAATGATCGAGATTATATTTGTATAATACCTTGAGTATACTTTTTTCCCCTCTTCAAATTTCCTTTGAAATTTGAGGATGAAATGGGAAATTCTATTAAACACAATTAGCAGAGGAACAAAAGATACCTGCATGGTTCCAGTGTGGGTTATTTTCAGCTTTTTTGTACTGTTTCTTTTCTGCTTATTTTCTTACTCCAATTTGTATGCAACTATTGAACTTCTGCTTTTCCTGTTTCCTTGCTAACGCAATCATAGCTAGAGTTACTTCCATATAAGCTAATAAAAGTGCATCTGCTTGAAAAATTTCTGGGAAAAAAAAAAGTCTATAGATTGTATAAAATGTATCAGTTGGGTTTAAATTGTCATGGCAACACTGACGTCTTTAAATGACAGAGTTAATATTTGTGGAATGTTGTATCATAATATATTTTAGGAAGCTGCAAAGAAGAATAATCTATTATTTTAGAATACAAACCTGAGTGTTATAAGAACACATCTCATCACATTTAAATTTATTCAGCATTTAGCACCTATTCTGAACAATAAAATCACCTCAGAAAAGTTTTTCTGATCTCAAATACTATTTGCTTAAGACAGACAAAAGCAGAATTTTATCATGTAAACCTTATTACAATTCCAGTCTCCCTGTGAACACAGCCATTTGAATTTGTAGGTTTAATTCATCATATAATTCAGTGATTAGGCATTTTCAAAACCTATCACCACACTGAATTAAAGAATATTTCAAACATAGTATCAAAGCATTTTAAGATATCAGTGGACAGAGTTCTTTTAAGGCCTGTGTCACTGACAAGAAAAGATTACTCACCATGTTGGTGAGCAAGGTAGTTCAGGATTACCTTTGAGTAGCAGAAGTCAAGCAAAAAACGGATGACAGAGGACTGCTTAATGGCTAGGGACCAACCTCCTTTTTGTTTCTGTTATTTGAAATTAAAACTGTAGATTTTGCTGAAAGTAGTTATTAGGACAGATAAAACTTTATATAAAAGTCAATGGCATAAAATGTAAAGCAAACAAAAATAGCTTCAGCCATAGAATCTACCATTAAAATTCTGATTAGCACTTCACTTTACAGTTATTCTTTGCCATACTTTTAATGTCTAGGAAAGACTGTCCTGCACAAGCCTTCATTTGCAACACATTTTGTAATTTTAACATAATTCTGGAAGAATCCTAAATGCTTATGCAGCTGTAACATCTACACAGTTCTTACTGTTCCCAGGTTTTATTCTCTAATCCAGCTGTCACTGCTGTTGACTTGTTTCCACATGCAGGAATAGCTTTAATTTTGTGTCCACACAATATAAAAGAAGGATGTTTAGTGCATTGAATTGAAATGTGGCAGAACAAGGTGCTAGAAATTATTTCTCTTGGGTTATCACAGTAATTTTTTACAGCAAACCACGCAGGTGATCTTTAAGTAAATGTAAAAAGCAACAAGGCACCAGAGCTTTGCGGGCTTTATCATGTCTATTAAACATTGTGCTAAAATTGCTTCACCATGTGAAGAAAGAGAAGAAAAAGGTTCATTACATAATAGCAGCAGCAGCAGCAACGTTTTGCATTTTTCACTTTGGCTTCTAAGTTTTTTCCAAGACTATTATTTTGGTTTATGATGATGGAAATGCAAAAATGTGAACAGGTAGATTTGCACAGCAAGTGAAAATGATAAGGGTGAAAGTAATTTTCCATTTTACAGACTTTTACAGGAGCAAGGAAAGGCAATGTGAAAATCTGCTTTTTGCAAACCTATAATACCAGAATACATCTTGGCTAAATCCATAAAGGAAGGTCAGCATTACTAATAAAGCATTTTATTTTTCACTGCTGAATTCCTCTTAGGAATTATTGCAGATGTTTTAAAATAAAATTAATTTCTCGCCAAAATTAAAATGTCCTGATGAACAACACAAATTAATTGTTCTCTCTTTCTTTAAGTAAAATATAAAAAAGAAAAAAAAAGCTTTAGTAGAATTAATATATACAAATACAAGGTTATTTCTCTTGAGGTAATGTTCTAGGAATCAGTCTCTAAACACCCACAAGAATCTATTGACATAAGTGAAAGGATTACATAAGTCTTAACAGCATGAATTTGGGAAAATTGAACCACTTACAACAGTCAGGGGCTGAAGAAACTACAGACAGGGTACTTAAAGTTATCAGTAGTGAAAATCTAAGACTTCACACACATTTTGTACCCTAGTGATGTCAAAAAAACCCAGTTTTCAAATGTTTTATTGACTTTTTTGTATCCTAAAGTCATCCTTCCACAACCACTTTCAAAGGTGAAGAAAATAAAAAGTAGAAATAGTGATTTAAATTGATGGGTTTTTTTTCTTGAGACATAACAGTGAAACATGAACAAATCAAACCCTAGGCCTGCTTTTATTTCCATATACCAAAAAGATTAGTGTTGGGTTTTAAAACAGTTTTTTCACCACTGTAAATTAAAGATTTGGGCCTTTTTCGTGGTATTATAAAACTGACGTAATAGCATGCATGGGATGGCTGTGGGAAATGCAGCATTTCAAACTGCCCACATCAGCCACCTTCAAACAGAGGCCAAAGGGCAACAGGAGGTAAAAGCCTCAAGCACAGCAGGGCTGCCTTAGAACCATGACTACAAAAATGAGCATGGACAAGAGGGTAGTGATAAGTTGGAATCTAAATTTAAAACAAAGACTCAACAGGTAAACAAACAGCAAGGAGACAGTAAAATCCCTCCATCTCATCTCGTTGAGCTCTTGAAAAAAGGAGAGGTGGGAAAAAGATTTAATAAGTACAGGTACGGCTTGAACATTGCAGATGTTTAGTCTGTCATTCTAAGTGAGAGTCTGGCATGAGATAACATACAGACTTTCACTTCCCAAGGGGATTAGACAGAGGTTTCATGAAGAGAGACTTTGGGTCTATGTACTGATATTTCTTCAAGTCCCATTTAAGAAAATAAATCCTTTCATGAATTATACCCTTCTATTTCAAATCCCCTCTCTCTACAAAACTGCAATTATGTTATTATCTTCAATAACAACTAGACTGTATTTCATTTGAAATACCATTAAAGCACTAAATATCAGTAACACTGATCTAGAGCAGAGCATTCAGCTGTGTAAAAGCCAGGAAACATGCTGGTCTGTCATTCTCATTCTGTTCCCATTTGCAAGACCAGCACCTATTTTCTCCATCCTCAACAGCCATGGGACTGGAAGTTTCTTTTGAGCATGGTCTGGGAAAGTGATAGAAGCCCTGGGAAAATATATGAAGGAAACAGTGCCCTAGACAATTCACAGTGATTAGATTAAAGAAATTATTTAACAGAATTTAAGGGACAGGATCTCCTTTCTCCCATCCTAGGTAGGATATAATTTGTAGACTTGCAGCAGTTTCCTCCCACCACTCTTCTGCAATACGACAGATTAATTTTTGTGAATAGTTTTTTCATTTCTCAAATGAAGGCAGAAAGAGAAAGTAATTTGTATGTGTCAAATCTGTGTACTATGTTACCATACTAAAACTGGCAGAAGAGGCTTGTTTGCTAGACTTCCTGCTGGAATAAACCACCTTGCTGAAACGACTGGAGAGATGCAAGAATTTTGAAGACTAACTTACTGAGCCCCAGATCATAATGCAGATACTCCATGTAGTACAGGCTTATAAAGTACATAAATAATCATCTGGAATATCTGAGATCACACCCAAATTTTTCAGACTGCTGCCAACACTTCAGTGGTAACACTGATCTTGTGCTGTGAATAAGAATGCATTCTACAGACATGGAAAGACATGGAAATCTATGGCAGGCCTAGGAGCCAGTTTCTTAATCTAAGATCAAGAAACAACCATCATCTGGAAAAGACCATCACATTTTGTGGTGACAGGATCTGGGAATCACCTGCACAGAAACTACCAAAACCATTTTAGATCTTAACAGCAGTTGGCATCTGAGATGCTTCTTTTTATGAAAGCTGAACAAAAATACCTTCATAACCTAAGTGTAACATTGCACAGGACTGAAGGACTACATTACCATGAATTGCAACAGTAATGGCTTTGATATATCTACTTTGATAACATGTTCCAATACACTTAGCCAGTAAATAAATAGTATGGCTCAATCTTAAAAGGTTAGTCAAGAAACTTGTTCTAATAAAATAATGTGATATAGTACGTCTTTGCCTAGTAACAAAGAAGAAACACGTTATGTAGCATCTGATCCAAAGCTCACTGAAGTTATTAGGAATTCAGAGCCTTCCAAAACTAAAATGAACTATTTGCATAGGCTAGGAAATACAATACATTCTTGTAACATTATTAATAAACTCTATCCTTTAAAAAAAAAACAAACAAAAACAAAATAAGAAAACAAAAACAAAAGCCAAAAAAAAAAGAAAAAAGCCTTTAGAATGAAACATATTAAACCCGGTTGCTTTCTCACCCAGTGTGACCATTCTATGTTGCAAAATCAATCTCCAGCAATGGCTAAAATGTATGGGGGGAAAAGCTCATAGAACTGACTCTTCTGCTACATGTTTACAGCATTTACTGTGGAAATCCTGAGCCAAAACCCATCTAGATCTCGCTATTCAATATTTAACAATGAAACTGCACTTCACAAAGTTGCTGTATCTTTTTTTGCTCCCATTCACAATTAAGGCCTCCACTGCATTTCATGCTCTATGACACAAGTTCTACAATTACCTTCCATAATCAAAAAAAATCTCAAACCACTCCTTCATGTTAAACTCTGTTCTGTGGCCACTTCCCATATGAGAAATAAAAATAGTTGCATTCTATTAAACTTTTTTGCTAATTGTTCTAGCCTAGCAGCTGCCTTCTACCCATCCACCCACTCCCCCCTAGCTGAAGAAATTTTGTTTACTTAGGTTTTCTTCAAATGGCCACCACTCTGTGCCCCTCATTACAAGGTATGCTTTAACAGCTTGGGTAGCATTCAAGATATGGGTGCACCATGCATTCACTACATGCTCTAAAATGTTCCTAAATTCTCCCTTTTCATAACCTCCAAAATTCAGATTCTCCTTTTAATCACACCAGCACTGAGATGATGTTTGCAGACTCACAACTCTCAAAACAAGCATTAATAGCCTCTTGTGTATAGACAGCCATGGCCTCACTCAGCTTCAAGATTACCAACATTTTGTCTTTATTAACCCTGTCTTTCATCTGAATTTATTGCCTCAATACCTATTATGGGATCCCTTTCTTTTTATTTGAGAGTTCTATAGCATAATCTCCTGCATCTGAACTAGACATTTTAATTCCTTTTATACCCATAATGCCTTTCAGATGGCATTTAAAATAGGACAGGCGACTCACATCACTAAAATATGTACGTCTCTCCAGCGACTCTCTAAAGTGGATCTTAAGAATCAGCTCAGACGTTTCACAGTGTTAGAAAAATCCCTGCTTTGTACTTGGAACTTCTACAATTTACAATTGACAGTCCTGCATAATTATGTAACCATAAAGAATTCCCACCTTCCTCCAGGCCTTCCCTTTACTCAGGCTTCATGCCCTCCTTGATATTTCTAACAATAACATGCTTAATAAAAAAGTCATACACACAACACCTTACCTTTGATGCCATACGCATGAACAATGAGTTTTGATCCTCTGCTGTTCTCATCTTCTCATTTTTGACCAAATCCTTCAGGTTCATACTATCATCATCCTGAAAATACCTTACTCTCTCTTTATCTACATGAGTAGGCATCTGGAAGCAAACACATTAAAAATTAATATTAACCTAATGAGAAAGATCAGCTATAAAATTCAGACCCTAACAATTTCAACAAGTTTAAAGAATCACAATTCGAGCTAAGCAGATCCAAAACAGCTGGGGTAACAGCTCCATCTTATCTAAGGAGAAAAACATCTTTCCCTTCCTCCAATTGCATCAGTATGTCTAAATAAAAATATAGACTCTTCCCGAAGTCACTATATCCTTAACATCCTTAAGGTATCAGAGCTACAACATTATCACTCAGGAAAGATAGACAGTACTTCACTGAAACCGTTAATTCGCTCATAAAAATGAAATATTCTAAAAAGTAATTTTCATTATTGACATCTCTAAAGCTTTTGTAAAGTCATAGGCATTACTGAAACACAGTAATCACAGACAGTACTGAAAACTTGTATGAATATGGTACCTCTGGGAAATGTTGCTATCTTAGACAGAGTGCACAAGACAACAGAGATGTCCCTTAGGATAGGACTAAACTAAATTCGGAAGGAGCACAGGGAGTGGTCATTAACATAAAAAAGGATAGCATTTTCCAAAATGCAAACAACACGAGGATGACAACAAATTCCTCACCCTCTTGTGTCTTTCACTTCTCCACAGCAGTGTTGAAAATTGATCTGTTCTACTAATCAAGAATGCTTGCTAGAATTATGAGGTAGTGTCACCTCCTCTTATCTCAAAAAGATCAAAGTGCTGCTGTATTTACTGTTGGAAGCAAATATCCTAAGAATAAAACACTGCTCCAGCTTCCAAGCTTCTTATTGCTCCCCAAAGCACTTTGTTTCAAAGATTAGTTCATAATTATTATCATCAACAGTAGTCATATTTTTTTATTAGAACTAAAGTGAAATTAGCCCCTGAGACCTGAGTATCTCAGGAAAATCTTTCTTAATTTGGAAATATTCAGCTCTGCTAATCATTGCTATTTGCATAACTTTATGTAATATAAACTAAGAAACTGTGATAACTTTTCTTTGAACGTACATGTAAATAAGCCATAAAGTGATCCCTTGGGAAATGCAATCTGAAAATAAACTGAATATATGCTTAATAAATATGTACTCTAATACTTAATTACAATCATCTTCCAAAAGGAACTTTTTAACTACCTATTGACATTCTGATAAGATACTCATTAATTATGGCATCATAAAAGTAAAATTACAAAATCATTTAAGAATTTCAGTTCAACACTCAGATTTGTAAAACTTACCATCTGTTGCTTTCTTCGTCCTCCTTTTGGCTCCAGTGGCTCCGTTGGTCCCATCACAGGCCATGCCCTTCCACTTCCATCTGTTCTGACAAGGACCACTTGCTCATCTTCTTGAAGGCTTGAAGCCTGTGTCGGGTTTTAAGACATATTTTAAAACAGATGGTACAAACAAGTCAAAAGAAATACCTAATCCATATTAAATAAATGTTTTAAATCCTAAAGATTAAGCAAAAGATTCTTTATATTTTGTGTGTTCAATATAATTCAAAACAGACAGTTTCACCTTAGTGAGGTATTCTTTTCACGTTCAAAAGGGAAAAAGTATTAAAAATACATTCAACTAGTTAAAAGCTGAGCTTTTCTTTCTAAAAGAAACAAGTTTGTAATTTTGGTTTTTTGACATAAAGCTTTATCTCCAGAAGACACACAATGTTTCTGGAAGAGTTAAACAGGTAACACTGAATTGATATACACCATCATCATTATAATGTTGTATTCCTGAAAATCATCTGAAAAGCTACAGCCCATTACCACTTCTTTTGTGCACTGGGGGTGTGGAAAATGACCACCCTCAACTCAATCCCCCAAAAAGTTACAGAACCTGTCTTCATTGAAAGCCCTTCATAGGGGTGTTCTCAAACTTAAATAAAGACATATTATATATATACACACACACAGGGGGGAAAAAAAAGGCAGAAATTCTTCACCAAAAAGTAAGTATTTCACTATTCAAAATATTAAAAATAATTTAAAAAATAATTTAAAAGCCTGTGAACTTCCTCATTATACTCCAAAGATGTTTAGGTAAATAACTTGATTAAATTAGAGCATATAATGGGGTCACTACTTAATCTGATGATATTAGGACAGCCTTTGTCAAATCTTATAAACAACTTCATTAATCTCCATTTCAAGCTATTTTCTACCAAACTGCTTTCCACCTGCCATCCTTGCCTAAGGAAAGCTTGTCCCAGAAACCCAAATAAAGTCTGGAAAATCTGTAGATGCTGAAGTATACTTCAACAGCTTAATTACATTTTTCCAAGGAAAGTCACATGAAGTTATAAGTTACGGACCAAAATCAGTCTGGGTAAGCCAGACCTCTCTCTTCTGTAACATCAACAGCAAATCTCATTTCACAAAGCAAACCAAGATGTCCAGCACCACTTTGGCTCCAATAACAATACTGATATTTTTAGGGAACACAACACAACTTATTTCCAGAATCAGCCAGATACATGTTATCTGTCTGTAACCTGTACCTCCTGCATTATTTTTTCACATGGTAAGGGCTTTTGTCCCTTTTGGAAGGGAGAGAGAAGCTGGTTCATCCCAATAGAAAAAAAGGCTGTGTGCATTCACCACACACATATCATGTGATAAAAAGGCCACAGCTGACTGACTGAGACACAAACAGCCAGACTGGGGGGACCATGTTTTCAGGTCATCACTATGGCATAAAACCTTACAGCAGATACAGAAAGCAAAGATGAAGTTAACATCAATAAGAATGTATCACAGGAAACTTCTCAAATGCCGCAATTCCTTTAAAACCTGGGTAACTTTACAAGTTTGGAGGTTGAACACATAACCATAGATATTGCATGAAAACTCAAAAATCCAGAGCATTGCTAACTAGTCTGAAATGACACAGACCTTTGTAGAGGAAAAAACTCCACCTTGTTCTAAACTCACCATACCTACATGGCCAGGTAGGGATACAAAGCTCTCCCAAGAGGACTAGTCAAATCCACACAGCAGACCCTTTAGAGTTTTCAGTGAATAATCTACCAGGTAGCCACTTCTGAAGGGTCCTGTTTATGTGAAATCCCCAGTCAGGAGCATCTTTCCAATCATTCAGCTCCTTGTACCCAATGCCCATATAGAGTCTCCAAAAGGATGCTAAATTCATGCCTCTCCTTCCCCACACCTTTGTGTTGCTGAGACAAGAAAAAGGATGAACTTTTCCATTCTCAGTCGCTAAACTTTAACCTCACTATATACACGACATTTAAAAAATACAAATCACTAAAGCAATAGTCATTACAACAGCAGTGCTTCAAACACTGTAAAGAGTAAATACCAAAGAGTTATATCAACTTACAGATATTTAGTTCCTTTTAAAGATATCCATCTCAAAATTTGTCTTCACTAAAATTCTTAATACAGACATTTCAAAAAAGGATGTCATTAATGTGCAGGCTGTTATATTCCCAAAAGTTAATGGAATTCACAAGGTGTTCTATGTGTCAGACCTTCTTTGCCTTTGAAGAAGGGCTCTAAAATACTAGATCCAAGCAACATTTGCACTTTCTTTTTCTTCCCATTTTTGCAAGCTTACACACTAGCATATAGTTATGTTAGTGACAAGCAGCAGAAGAGTATCTTCTGGATCTGAACCATGGAACAGGTTAGGACAGGGACAGGGAATGGAGAGGGGAGCAATAGATATAGTACATACTGAATTCTTTGGGTCAGAACCCTTCAGCTGGAAAGGTTTTGTCTGCTTTATGAGGGCTTGAGGTTTTTTTCTCCCTAATTTACAAGAGTCCTGAGTCCTGACACAAAGCATGTAATATTGACTACAATGTATTTAGATTTATTATTCCAGAACGGGGGAAAAAAAAAAAGCAAAAAATTATAGTAATTTTTAGCTTTAGAATACAAAGTACAAAAAAAATAGAAGTGGTCCTTCCAAGAGAGGTTAAAGGAAGCAGATAAAAGGATAAAATAATTATGGACAGTATGAAGAGTAATGTGAAGTCATGTTAGAAACTAACAGCAAATGCATACTAGGAACCAAAATGAATCCAATGGATGCAAACCAAACATGATTATTCAGAAGATTAAAGATGTTATTAGAGGTAAAGACATCCAGAACTCAAAACCCTATCTAAATAGAACTGACTTAAAAATACAGCATAACAGAAAGTTAATTGTATTAATGCAAAAAAAAAATATTTTTTAGGAGAATCTAATAATAATTAGTAAAGCTATTTCTAAACACATCAGAAGCAAAAAGCTTTCTGATAGAAAAAGATGCTCAAGTGGTTACAGCATTATGAGAACGTGGCATTTGAATTATATATTAATTACTTGTATTTTATTCAACAACTTTTTGAAAGAAAAAAAACTAGAATAAACTTTAGCAATCATCTTTAAACTGAAATATAAGTAAAAAGAGTTTTATAAATTACCTGCCATGAAGTAATGATTTTCACTAGAGCTTCCAAAAAAAATTCCAATATATAATGTCCACAGCCTTTAGCATACACTTAGACAGTCTCAGTACAAAAATAATGGAATGCAGCCAATACAATAAAAATCTTTAAAGTGTGCCAATGGTTGATCCTGGTAATTCTGGGGCGGCGTCTCTAACATTTGTAATGGACAAATTCACACAAGTATACTAAAAAACAGACTTTCTCTACACTTGAACAACTACACAACACTGAGAAAGAGCCTTTGCAGGAAAAATCCACAACTCACAGAAGTAATAGATTTTTCAAAAGAGTGTGGATATCAATCTAACTGTAAGAGTTACTTAATGCTCTCTTTTTATCTATTGATATTTTCTTCACACTTGCATTCCCATGACTGTATGATATGCTATATGGTAACACAATGTAGTCACTGTGATATAACAAATACTCATTAATAATTATGATCAGATAAATAATATTTCTTTTAAGTACAACATAAATTTAAAAACATATATCAAAGTACTTTTAATATACCTATTGTTAAATTTAAAATCGAAACTGGATAAGAGGCTTAGTCACTATCCCTGAATCTTCTGATGATTCCAACATCAATGTGATGATTACAACTTCCAACAAACAATGTAATTTACAGTCTGAAATGAATAAAAATAGTGTCTATTTCCAGAATGAGAGGGGAATTGTTTGTTGCCATTAATTAAGGAACATGACTTTTTACTTCAGGCCAATTAAATATGCAAAGTACATGGCTGCTCTCACCAAATGTACAAACTGCTATACAGCAATTAACACTCAACTGAAGAAAATAAGAAGACATGTCTGGTTTTGAAAGATAAAAGCTTTAAATTAAATACATAAATAAATAAGAGACAGATCTGAAAAAGATTCTTGAACTCTCCAGAGATTATCCCTGTTCCATAATCGAGCAGGAGGAAGTGGAAATCCTCTGCCACACCAGGTGCACAGCTTAATTTGAGGAATAGACATTGGAGCAGGTGAACAAATGGGGTAATCAGGCCCAGCATCTGAGATAAAATCCCCTGAATTAGTACTGTTTTTCAATGCTAATAGCTAAAGGGAATATAATAAATTTTAATAGTCAGTATATTGTGGGGAACAACTAAAGCTAAAAAAAAAACAATTTTTTTTTTCATTATTGAGCCAACAAAAAGCTGGATGCTAAAAGATTTGAAAGCTTCCTGCAAATGTTTACTGAGAGCTACATTCAAGTAGTACAAGCTCGGTGTAATGAAGGAATAACAAAGGAACAGTCTTCAGCAAGGAACTCCACAACCAAATGCAAGCTTTGTCAAATCAGATGCTGTGTTAAGCCTGCCACCTGTTTCCTTTCCCCTACAGTCTGCAGTGAATGGAAATGCTTTGAATATTGCCTTACTCCTCTACTGGAAAAGTCTGTCCTTACTTTATAGTATCAGTAAGTGTCTAAAAAATATCTAGCACTTCTCAGAGTGCTGGACTCAGCTATTTCTTCCATCCACTGTCTCCTGTTCTCTTCCATTGCTCCTTCTCCTCCTATTCCAGTTACCCTTCTCTTAGGCTCTCAAGTTGCTTTCACACATAATCACTGGTTACCCAAAGGATGAGTAAATCCCGTGTAGAAAGAGCATCTTCCTCCTTCAGTGCTGGCTATTCTGAAGGGCACCATGTCTCATATTCAGGAGGCATTTCACTCCCAACCTGGAGTCCCCAAGTAACAGGTTTCAAAGCATCTATGCTCCTCTTTGGGTTCTAACATTTGTTCTGAATAGTGGCACTGTAACCTTCAACATAATACTTATAAAAATCAGGAGGTTAACCATTCTCCATAGCAAGACTGAGGTTTGCATCTCACAGGAAGATAAGATTAAAATGGTCAGAGGTCTATAACAGCAGTCCAATGTATAC